GAGACTGCGAGCCTGAGTCAGTCAGATCCGTTGGACGCATTATTAAGTCCATTCACCTATGGAGAAAAAGGAAGAAAGGAGGAAAGCCCCCCATGGTTTGGCTATTTCCATCATCGGTGGCTGGAAGGGAAAAGGCGAGACGCGGCTCATTTAGCCGATGAAAGCCTTCATTGGGAGACGTAATAGAAATCTCTACATCCTGGTAAGAATGGAGAAAAAAAAAAAGAACAGTACGTTTTCATTCTGGAATATTCCCGACTCGTGCAGACCAGATTGCGCAGTCTCTGCTATCCGTTGGGATCCCTTGCAGTCCTCAACACCAAGGCCTAATCCGAGGAACGTCTGTTCATCATCAGGACCTGCCTGAATCAAAACACGACGAAGGCAGACCTCGACCTGATAAGGAATGGCTCTTTATTTTCTTCCCTTTTTTTTCATACTCGTTGACCTCAGTCGTTCTTGTTGATCTCATCTCATTCATTACTTAGTTTTTTAAATATTAATTTTCCCTTCGTTGAATTGTATGCTTGAGTTGCTTGATGGTTCGTTGGCCTCATTTCCTTCGCATGAGATGGTCGAACATGAGAAAAAATTAAAATTTCCACTCTGCTGCTAATCTGCCATTCGTCCTTCGAGTACGATATTCGACGAGTTTTTATTTTTACTAGGAGTAGGGTGCAGCGAGTATGTTTACGACAAAAACGGATAAGGTAGTCGCCGAAAGATAAAAAAGACGGCTGTATTGCGGCCTCAGAGAGGTTTACGGCTCGCATGTGAGAGAACCCCAGGTGAATGAAAAAGTGATGGAGAAGTGGGAAATACGCCATTATCACTCAGAGATGAAAGATGATGGGCATGGGGGCAGTGCAGCAGGCGGCAGCTGCGTCATAACGGAATGGGTTCTTCTATGGCCGGAGGTCCCTCGATTCTTGGCTTGCTTCCACTTAGTGCGCGATTCCATTCACAGATGGCGCGCAGTATTTACATGGTGACGTCAACCGGGGGGGAGGGGAAGAGAGAGAGAGAGAGAGAGAAGGGGATAGGCAGAAGTACGCAAGGGATTCCTGTGAACGCGGTCGGCCCTCGCCCACATTATGAAAACACGGCTATTTCACCCGTTCTATTCGCTCTATCCCCAGTGAATTGGCTCGCTACGGCAAGGGGGATTCCTCCCGTCGACGATGGTGCCGTTTTTGACGCGGTTCCAGGCCGTAGTTGGTGATAATGGTTGGGAAACCCCCTCTGAGTAGTGGGCCGTGTGTCTCCCTCATCAGGTTCAAGGCAAGGGAAACCCCTCGGCTGGCGCTGCACTCGTCCCCTCTTTCCTTTTCTCTCTCTCTCTCCCTCGCCTGAGCCAGGGGCTCTCTCTCTCTCTGCCTCTGTCTCTCCTGTGTCCCGTCTTTCCTGTCTCCTCAGTCGGACTTCGTCCGTACGTGCTTCCTTTTCTTGAAAGGCGTGAAAGCGGATGGACTCCGCGTGTTTCCATTAGGTTGCCGAAGTGTCGAATTACCCGCAGACCTCGCTCCTCGATCTCCCCCAGTCTTCGTATATGCTCTCCAGTGAAGTGTGTAGCCTCCGGCCCTCCATGCCTTCTAGTGCCCCGTGTTTGTTATGTGTATGTGTTTCTCGTCTTCTAGTAGAACTGGACCTGTGCTCCAGCAGGCTTGTCAAGCAAGCGTACCGTAAAACCACGTATCAGCATGACTTGAATCCTAGAGTGTGTGATGAGTGGTGAAGTCGTATTATGCTTATAAAACAACTTGAGGAATCCAGATCGCTTCGTTGGGGCGGAGACCGTGCTGATAGGCTTATGCCAAGAGGGGATGATTCATGCCAGCTGGTTTCTCATAGTGGCATTCATGCGGGAATGCTTCGGCGTCTTCCCCAAGTCTGTGTGGAAATGTGATGGGATTCCTGGATTACTTTCCTATTCACAGGTCTATGATGGAAATGACAGCTGTAAATAAGCATATTTGATGTCGAGATGTCTTGGCCGAGATGATGTTGGACAGTACTTCTCTGTTCTTCGCCACCCACCGAGAATGGGCCTGAAGGGCGCTGCCGTCGCTAGCCCTTTGTGATGCCTCGCCCTCGTCGAAGGGGATCTAGAGGTGAGTAAACTTATAGCGGGGGAAAGGGGGGAGAGGAGGGAAGTGGTCTGCGGACCCGGGGTGATGCAAGATCCATAAAGGACGTCTCTTATAAATATTTTATGCTGATACACCCCGTTTTTCTTCGCTAGACCTTTGGGAATGTTTAAGTATGGGTTCAGCTGTACTTGGCATTTTTTTAAGTTCTCCTTCATCGTCTCTTACCGTACCTGATCCCCCGCTCCCAGACTTACGTCATCGCTACATTGCCACGCTTTTCAAGATGGGTGCAGTTTTTATGAGTCATTTAAAAATATATCATAAAGCAATAAAAATCGCAGGGAGCAGCCTGCCAGTAGTGATGCCAAATCTCGCAAAAAACGGTAGATGCTCACGTCAGCATCGTCGCAACCTCCCTCGCTGCTGACTTAATCCTGAACCTTCTGTTTATAGACTTTATTTATAGTTCTGTTCAATGCCTAGCTGTTTCAAATGGCCTACAGCTAGGCATTTTAGTATACATTCTTCAAGAACCTGTTTCCTAAGATTCAGGTGCTTCCATGGAATTACGCAGGTGCGCAGTGCGCACGTATCGAGAGAGATGTGCGATACCTCACGTTTCTTGCTCCCACAGAATCGCAAATGTGCGATGTTATCTGATTCACCTTGAACCAGATACGGCCTTGTTCGTCGAATCGGTCGCGGCCTTTGTACCTCGTACGATTCTGTACGTCATCGAATGAGTAAATCCACTGATAGCGGTGATAAAGCTGAAAAAGAATGTCCTGGAGTACTTTCGGATAGGGGGAAGGGAGAATGACCCGAGCCAGGGAGTCTGCTCCTAGTGTGACTCAATTCTGATTTGAATCGTACGATCCGGATGGAGCCAATGAGGATGGATATTCGTATCAAGAGTGACGTCAGAGGGTGTACCCACTCGGCTATCACTCCCGCGGCATCTGTTATGTTCCGTACTTCGACCCTCTTGAGCGAGACCTGGAGGGGTTGGTGTTATTCTCGGGCTGTAAATATCCTGCAAGCGTTCAGATAGAACGTTCTCGTGAGAAATTCCATGCCATGGGGGTCTGGACCGAAGGACGTTATAAAAAAAAAGAGAAAAGAGAAGAAAAAAGTTGATTTCCTAGCGCACACAATCCCCTCACTTTCAGGCCAGTTGTACAAGGAAAGATATCCGCTTAATTGGCATGTTCTATTTTTCATGACAGACCTACTCTAATGAAAACAAGGTGACGTGCGTGTAGGCTTAATGAATGATGTCTAACTCCGCGTTTTCGGCAAAAAGAAAAGAAAAAAAGTGTGGACCTGGGAAGTGGAAAGCAGAACTGTCGAAATGTACCTACTAGGTCGTAACTCTTTGCTTGTAGCCAGCTAAATGAGAAACTTGGCCTTGTGTGTACGACCTCGGGCAGGTTTATCCTACTCTCGAATGAAAGCTCTTTCCAACCTCGTTTGAACTTTCCACTTTGTTTTGCTCCTCCATATTTATGTGGAGGTTAAAGGGCCATGACATGTTCATTTTCTATCATATTTTCCTCTTCCAATATCTTAGCTGACGATGTAAACAGGGTTTTGAAAGAGAATCATCTGATTTTCCAAGGCTGGAATGACTAGAATACATTGAATCATTCACGCGGAAGAACAAGCATGACGTCAATGACCCGGGTCGATTCAAGCAAGGAAACAAGATGGAAAAGTTTAATCAACGCTAAGTAATGAAGAACCTGCAATTTTCACGCTCTTGGGGACGTTTAAATGAGGCGTAATACATGTAAATGTAAGGTGTTTGATTTCGAGAGTAAAAAGCCAAAACTTCTGACTGGCTTCTGGGTGAGAACATGTAAATTAGCGAGGGTAGAGAAAGGGACTAGAGAACGATAATTGATGAGGCTCGAACTTAATTAGTCTTATTGATTTAAAAATGTAATCGAATAGAGTGGAAAGGTAGACCTTTTTTGGACCATTTTGTACACCATAAGGCAATTGTCCGTCCAATAATAAAGTGCTGATTTCCAGCTTGACATCCATACACGCGAATGAATATGTGAACAATTTGAAGTACGGTAACGGTAAGGATTAGGATGATTAGGCATGTCAGGGGGTTTCCTTCTGAGGATAGGTTAGGAAGCCCTCTAAGGTCAAGATCCCCCACGACTTCGATTCAATAAAGAGAAGGCTAAGGTTATTGATGGAATATCTTTTAAAGAACCTTTTTCTTACCTCAGTATTCATTTTCCACGGCGGGGTGGCATTGTCTAAAATTATATGAGCCTAAGCCAGGTGAGAACTAGAGAGAGTTACTTCACTCAGGATAATTGGGGAATTATCTTGAATGAAGAAGGCTTGCAGGAAAAAAATAAACGTAAAAGAGGGAGAGGATACGTTTTCATTACTCTAAAAGCAGCAAGACGTGGCTCTAGCCAGAAGAGGTATGAGCCATTTTTTTTTATAACGCCCCTACAATCCATGGATGAGTGGGATGGATGCGAGATAAAGTTATCTTTGTTGTTAGGTTAAGGTTAATAAAATGTTTTGCGGTGTGACAGGAGCGCAACATGGACTAGAGGCCTCCTGCATTCTCAAACACCTGTGCGACCTATTGGTACATCTCTAAACGCGATAAGCGCGGTAGATTCTGCGGTTTCTGTTTTCCTCGTCGAGGAACTCATCATCTCGCTCAACTTTTACATCGATGACTTGGATTTCTCAGAATCTCATGACTGGGCTCAGTAGACACTCCCCGTTTCCATAGCAACGCATCCCACGTCCCTAGAATGCATACTTCCTTTCCTTCCCCCTTCGCTCTCCACCCCTCATGATATTTTCCGTAAAGGTACTTCTGAGAAAATGTCAGGGGTCGGATGTTTACGAAACGAATTAAATTCCGACAAAATGGCACAGATTACGCAGAACGTCAATGAGAAGACTAACAGGTTCCAGGAAAGCCTTCCGCGGGTCTCATATCTACAACATGATGCATTTTGTAGTATCCACGTCAGTGATGTGATGCCGCATGGGATTGGGAAGACCCGTCCGTTCAAAGCACTGGCGTGGATCCCAAGTGGTCAGTCCTTGCTTTTTTTTTGTTTAAAAATTCAGATTCCTGGGTTGTTCCTCGGAGGATGCCTACGTTGTTTTCAAGGACAGGGGTCTGATTTTCTCCACGCACTGTATTAATGAAAGCCGAGTGGCCAAAAACTAGAAGTTCTCTATGGAATCCGTACATCCTTGTATGATCCTCTTTTTTTTTTTCTTTTTTCTTTTTCCTGGTTCGCTGACTCAGACGTGAGGGGGTCACCTTGGTTCCGACGATACCTCTCTCCCTCAATCTTCCGTCCACAGCATTTTCGTAGGATACTAACGACTCGACGTGACTCTTCCTTACGGGCATATGACGTCACGTACGCAGACACTGACGGAGATGCGGATATGATGGACATGGGACGAAGTTGCCCTGCCCTCTCGCTTTACCCCCCATGCGTGCCGGGTTAGGGAATGAAGAGAGGGGCCGCTATTGATTTCCTATGGGAGCCTGCCTGGCTGGCTTTCACGTGGATGGATCTTCTTTTCTTGCGACTCAACCCTGTATCTTCCTCTTTTCTGCCTTCCCCGTTTTCTCATCTATTTGTTGAGCAAGATAGGGAGATGCAGATATACCCCATTTTTGCGTGCCTCGGCGGTCATCTCAGGTTTCCTGGATCCACCAAGACAAAGAAAAGCTATAAAAATCGAAGGGGAGCCGAATGGGCGAAGGGTCTGGACTCCGGACTAGTGACGACACACACTGGCATGGCATGCAGGAAGACTGCTCTCCCCCTCGTGTCTCTCTTCTCTTCTTCCATCGTCCTTCGTGGAATTCTGCTGACCTACATTATCCAGGCGCTTCCTAAACACATGCCATGGGCCTGCATAGGATGAAAGGAGAGGGGGTAAAGAAGCCCACGAGAAGGAACCTTAAAAAGAGAGGGTGACGTGACGGTCCGTGGATGACGTCACATGCACATGGGAAAGGGAAAGTAAGCGTTTTTGTCAAGCTAGAAGTCACGCGCTGGTGCCCAGCCCTTTCTTCTTCTCTGGATCCCCATGTAGACCTTGCTTCCTGTCTAGATGAAGCCCGTATACATTTATTGACTGGTGTGATCGACTAATACACATTGATGGTCGAGATGACAGATCGATTAAATGAATGCCGGAATGGGCGAGTCTGTAAGGCGAGACCGTGACGATAACAACTCCATGGACGAAGTGACGTGATAAACTGTTATTATTACATGAGTAGCAGCGAGTTCTGTTGCTGTTAAGACAATTTTTCCATTTGGAACTTACTGCATGTAACAGATTTGCTGGGCTCTACGGTGAAAGCAGCTGCATTTCATTACGTTCACGAGGTGGCAGCTGCCATCCCTTCTGTTAGGACAGATTTCACCAATGTGACTGGAGTAGATGGCAAAGAACGAAGAGACGGGAAAACTTGGATGATCAGGCAGGATCCCTTAAGACAGCAAGCTGACAAGATTGGCAATTACTGTTTTATTTTTGCTCTCAGCCGACCTCCTTTACTCGAAAAAGAAATGGAGTGATTCATGCAATCGTTATAGAACAGTTTACGCGTAGATTTTCATCAAATGCTCGAGGGAATGGTACTGCTTCAAACTTCACTAATTCTTTTTCTTAATCGCTAATTCCAATAAACTATCGCATATTTAGTTTTAGAACATTCCACTTGGAAATGTATAATGTAATTAATTTGAAAGTTGGAAGTCTTGGAAGTCAAAACTTGGTTTTGAACCGCTCTTTCCTTCACTCTTTCCCCCCCCCCCCACTTTAAAAATTATAATATTCCATGTATCTAATCTGAATCTATCGATAACGATATAATCAAAGGAAGGACTCATTACTGACAGTTTTTTTTCTCTCCAATGTTTCGAGTAGTGATAATCTTTGCCTCAAGCATGAAGCAAAGAAGAGGGGAGGGGGGGAATCAGAGAAAAATTCGAGACCCTGCCGAAACGACTCGAGTGGTGATCGAGCACAAGGGTGGACCAATCAGTTGCTGTAACTACGTTCATTTTTCTATTATTTTATTTCTGCCTTTATATCTCACACTCTAAAAAAAATTTCATTCCGATGAACAAAATGCTGAACGTTCTCGAACGCGCGGATTTTTTGTCTAGTAAAGAGACGTGATGGAATACAGTATCGATTGTCTGGTGGGATGTTGTAAGAACCAATGCTGACTGGGCTCGGCAGTCAGGATGGCTTTGGAAAGGGCCTGAGCTCCGTTCACATAGGGTGTCATTGAACATATAACCCAAACGAGGGGAGTAAGAGGCCTGTAAAACTCTGGGACACTGTTCTCATGGGCATAATGCATCTTTTTTTCCTTTCCTTTTTGACCCCGACGCCGCGACTAAGTGAGAGTTTTTATGCGCTTTCGATGAAAGGCCGCTTCTCTGTTGACTGTCGGGACCAAAGAGAAGAAACATCGGTACAAAAAAGAGATGAAACTGGATGTCGTGAGAATCCTACTTGTCTGGTCAGGGGCGTAGCTACTGTCTGTACCCCATTCGAAGTCATTCATAGGCATAAAAAGTGGGACAAACACAAGTCACTGTGTGCTCCTGTCGTCCTGGAGAGCTTTTTTTTTTTATAAGCAGCAAGTCCCCTTTATAGAAAAATGTGAAGCCGCTTATTTAAGACTTGTCTCTCTTTGTGTATCTTCGGCGCTGGCATTCGTCAACGTTTACGGGAATCCTACTGCTTCAGACTTTAATTTTTTTTAAAATCAAAAGCTCACAAATACGTTGAAGTTGACATCAGTGGCGTTGGGAGGGGGCTTCACACCCCCCAAGTTTGGTTCTAGCTCCCCCCAATTCTGGTCGAAATGCATCCGCCCCACCCTCCCCTTTGTGAGAAGTCTAGCTTTCCTTGCTTCCCTCTAGCCCCCATGGCCGAAATCCTGGCTACGCCACTGCTTGACATCGATTCAATTTTCGGGAAACCTCTCTCAGTTACGAAGGATTAATTTGGAATGAATAAACTCAGATGAAATAGCACAGCGGAGAGGGAATGGTAGTCCCTGATCAACTATCCCCGGGCTCACCGTCTCCTGCCATTCTGTTGTATTCTCTTCCCCCTTTTTTCTTTGTATCCCCATTTCGTTTGTATTATCTATGACGACAAACTCAAACGGAGCTCGCTTTCTTTGCACTACTTTTTGGAAAAGTTTTATGTATTTTCAGTGTTACAAAAAAGGAGGAGGCTATTGGCACTTCCGCAACGGAGTGCATCATGCGCGCGTTCAATTGGGCTTTTTGGGGTCTAAATTGATACATATAATTGTATGGGTGCACTTAAAAACACAAATGGAGGAAATGATACAGCATGTTACTATAGCCCTTCGAACGGGTTAATTCCGGGAACTCATCTTCTGAGAAACAAAAGGTATTTCCGGGCGCTTTCGTAGCGGGAAGTGCACGCTAGCCCTGAGATCTCAGGACATCATCGCGAAAAGTCAACTTGACTCCATTATATTAAGTCTTTGGCTAAAACAATCCAGATCACCACTTTTGCATGAGTTTCGAAACGGACCTAACGTGATGAAAAAAGCCAGAATGGATGTAAAAAAAATTTTGACCCCTTTTCATACACCTTTGTGAGACTGCTGGCTGTTTCGAAATGTGGGAAGTGAATGTGGAAATTAATTCATTCTAGTTTTTCTTTTCCTTCCCAGAAGCGTACAAGCGAGTACGATTTCCAGGAATCTTTCTAAGATGCAGATTCCTACGGTGGTGATTGTGTTAACCCCTATAGCCGAGATGAGGCATCCATCATATACGTCATGACTTTATCCAGGAAACAGGCCATCGGAATTATGCAGTCTCTAGCAACTTGGCCATGCCTTCCCATCCTTGTTGAACAAAAAGGAAAATTAACAGAATTTGAGTGTTGGTCTTCGATGAGGTCCTGTTGGAAATGCTAGGGAATCCTGACCTCACCTGCATGAAAATTTCCGGAATGTCTTTGCGGCAATAATGGGAAGATTTGACAAGCATAGAATAAGCATTCATGTAAAGGAATCTGATGAGAACATATTCATATTCCTCACCGTAATTTTACATTTCAGTTCCCTTGCTCCCCCCCAAAACTATATTTTTAAGAGATTAGGAATTAAAGTAAGTAATTGAGACAGGAAAAAACCCAGCCTTTTCTGAGAAGGCAATTCTCAAAGGGGATTGGGAAAATATGTCTTCATGTAAACTGAAACACACCAATTAAGGGTTTATGAAGTCATGAACAGCAGTGATCCTATAAAGAAAAAGTCGCATCTACTTCTTCCTGTGTTGTTCATGGAGTGGAAGTTCAATGAGAATTTCTGCCATCAAAGAACAACCCAAATTATTTTCTAATTTTTTATTCAGCACTTTAAATGACGAAGTGCCAAACAAAATGGGAGGTATATACATATATTTTTATTTTTATTTCACTCTTTCTCTCCTGTTCAAGTGGCAGATTTATCTCATGTGTGTATCCTGTGGATAACTGCTAATGAAACTATCAATTTTTTCTGTACTACATAGTCTGATGTTTGAAAAATCTGGAGTGTATGGAATCATGCTTGTGGTTAGTGTCTAATTGTTTTGCTTATTTTTTTTATGTTAGGAGGTCGAGTGGGGCAGAGAGGTTCCAGGGGTCATCCTGGCCTCACACGAGGAGGAGGAAGTATAGGAGCCTCTCAACGGAATGCAGTTGCCTTTGGAGCCAAGGAAATCATTACTGCACTTCATCCAAAGTACCGGCACAAGAAATTGCCAAAGGTTGATGATGATCTGAAGAATATCAACAGCCTGAATGGGAACTGTTCCATCATTGGCCGTGAGGGCCCCAAAGCCCCTGCTCCTGGGTCTGGTCTCCAAGAACGCCATGTGCGTACAAGTCATTTGCAGGACAGACAGCAGTACCCTTGTCGGGAATGTGGTGTTGTTTTCCGCAAGCAAAACAATCTGCTAAAACATGCTCAGTCAAGTGGACACAACAAGGTCATATTAGAATTTTCCAAGAACAGTTGTATCCCTGCAAAAGAAGAGAAGAACTCAGTTGAGGAGGGAGGACAACGGAAGATCTACAAGCCCAAGTTTCATATTCAGAATTTGTACAAGCCTGAGGAATCAGGGAATGTGAACTTGGAGAAGTGTGGGAAAATATCTGGTGCAGGAGGGGTATCACCATCATCAACCACAAGTGGCAGCATTGTATCATCACTGTCAACCTCATCCACACAGGATGTTTTGACATGGTCTGTGCCAAGCAGTAATTCTGCTCTCAACATGGTGGTTCCTGCTGCAATATCAAATGCTGCAGAGAAATCTGTTATTCCTGAGGTTCAGGTTCATCCTAGTGCAACCTATCCCAGTACTTTGAAGTTAGTGCCTGGGATTCAAATCACCAAACCAAGCCCATCACCAAAGTCTGTGGCAGTTACAGCATCTTCATCGCAGTCAGCTTCTTGGAGTGCTGGGAAGGCTGGTCTTCGTATTGAAATCCCTCATACCTCAGCATTATCCTGCAACAGCAACAGCACTGGGACTTCAACACCCCACACACCACTGTCTGCAAAGAGCTTAAGATCTCCAGAAGCTATCACTCAACATATTAGCAAGATTATCAGTGAGAATGAAGCTATTGTAGAAACGCTGAATCCTGTGTGGTCCAAGCGGTATTTGCGACAGGCCAGTGGTGGAAGCACCAGTAGTACAGACTCAGACAGGGGCTTTTATCCCATTCGTCCTAAGCTAGACCCAGACTCTGCAGTTAGTAAATCAGGGCTTGCATCAATTAGAGAGAAATATCAGACTCCCTGTCTTGACTTGAGGAAAGTTTCTCTTCAGGCTCCATATATATGGGGTGATACCAAGCTTATTATCTCCGCAGAATCCCCCAGAATTGTTGATCATGGCTTCCCTAGTTTCACAATGGCTAAAATTCTTGGTCATGAGGCATCTGCACAGGAGCGTGGTTTTTTGTCGAATGCTCGATCATGCAAGAATTTGACAGAGGAGCCTCAGTCTGTGCGAGACCTGTTGAAGTTGAAGCAAGTGAAGAATCGAGAAACAAGTGAGCCAAGAGAAAATGCAATGCGAGCTTATCCATGCTCACTGCCACCATCAAAAGGCTTTGTACTTAATTCCATTCCAAGGCCAATCATGTCATTCCACCCAGAAAATCCTGAGGGCTCTATGATAAAAGAAATTTTACTGAAGCAGCGTGGCATGAATGCTGATACCAGTGTTCCAGCTATGGACAACTTCAACACCAGAGTAGCACCAAAGTTGATGAATCCAGTTTCAGTTCCCATGGGGTTATCTGAGCTTGGTGGGTATCAGGGTCCTGGAATATTGAGAGAACACCTTCTGAAGCTCCAAGAATTAACACCTCCTTCTGAGTTTCACACCCTGGAAGCCTCCGATTTGAAAGAAACTAGAGGACATTCATTCAGCTGGAATATCAGTCCTGTGCATGTGGTTAGTCAGCCAGGCACAATCCCTCAGTCAAATTTAATTGATCTCTCTCTGAAAAGCAAGCTCCATCAGTCTGAGGCAACGAATCCCTCCCCACCACCAAAAAAGCGTAGACTGAACTCTGAGCCTGTTTCTGACTCTTCTGTGCCTGTCCTTGCAAAACCTCTGATGCCTGTGCAGCCAACACCTACCAGACCCAGTGCTCTATCAATGTATGGTGGGGAAGTACAGATTATGGATGAGTCAGAAGCCAAGACTCTGAAGATTGTCTCTCATATGCCTTTATCCCATGGGTCATACACTACATCAAGTATGTCTTGTTTCATATCTTCATTTTATTTCTGACCTCTCTTGATTTATAAAACCTAATGATGAACAATGTCTGAAATGCTATTGCAGGTGCAGCAGTGGCTATTCTCCCCTCTTGTGCAACCAGTGTGTCTGTTCTTATGACAGTTGCTCAATCAGGGCTTCATTCGGGTGGTACCATGATGCAAGTTGGTGAAAATACAGGAGCTGGTTCTCCACTCAAAGTTCCTCATTCACAGCTACTTGGCTCTCAGAATGCAACTCGGACAACTCCAGTTTACTCTCAACCAATCTCTGTTCCGGGGATTCAGACATTTTCTCCATCAAGTAGATTGCAAAGGACATCGCCATCTGAGCAGTGTACTCCTTTGAACTTGGTGAAGTCTCAGACTGTTAGAAATTTGCCCCCTCATGTTCCTGGGATTCCGGGTCCATTTTCCAACTTTGATCAGCAACCAGTGGACTTTTCAAAGCCTGTGACATTAACAAATCAGCCATTAGATGGGATTTTAACACATTCAAGGTGCTCAGAACCTCCTGAAATTTCAAAGCATATCTCCATCTCCAAAGTAAAATCTTCACCTGAGCCTGAAGTGTCATGTGCCACTCATCAACTCGCCCGGCCCAATTCCCTTCCAACAAAACCAAGACAATCTTTGAAGCCCAAGCCTCTGATATCCAGCCCCATCTCTTTGAAGTCCCCAGAAACCCCTCGCCCCAAGCGTTCTTATGGCCAGCTGTATCTCAATGGTCATGCATATACTTATCTGGGTTTGAAGTGTTCCACAAGATTGCATCATTGCACATTCAAACTTCAGCCAATCTATGCTCTGTTAGAAAACATGGAAACTGGCTTGTCCATGTATAGTGTATGGAAACAGCCTGAGCCAAATGGCAATGAACTACCACCAGGGGAAGCTATGGCTTCATATGACTCTAGACACCGTCCGTGTTCCTATACAGTTGCTTGTTCCAAGGAGTTGGGGGCACTCATTGTCACTGACTCCAAAGACTGGAAGAAAGGGCCTATAAAGAAGAAAGAAACGGAGCTTGGGAAGCCCTCCTCTTCACTGTCAACAGCTTCACCTTCATCATCATCTTCAGATGCTACTATTGGGGAGACAAATTTAGATACTTCAGGGAAAGAGTGCCTGTCTCTGAGTGTAAGTTGTTCATATTGAGGGCTTGAGGACAAATTTGCATGGTTCCCATTGCTAGTCCTTGTACATCTGTCTCTTTCTCTCTCTCTCACCTTACCCTTTTTGCATGCCTCACATCCATCCATTTTCTGAACATAACATGATGAATGTGAAGAGTATTCATGGTGTTAAAGGGTGCACATGAATGATTTTCAATTCCACTTATGAAAGAAATATTACATCTGACATGGCTGCAACCCCAGATTCAGATCTTATTACTGGATCATTAGTGAACTGTATATAGAAAATTTCCTCCAGCATTTTGTCAGTATAGGAAAGTTATTGGAAGTTGGCTAACAGAAGGGCTGTAACCAAGTATTTTCCCACGTCCTTACTGTCATCCTTCCTTTTTTAACCCTTTTGTGGGAAAATTTGTTCTCATGTGCAGCCTTCCCAGAGCATGGGGAAGGTTGAACATTTTCTGGGAAGCATGCACTTCCATGAAGGGGTTAACTTGCCTTCTCCAAACGCCAGAGTCAAAGGGAAAATGGAGAAAGAAATAAAGTAAGATATTCTAAAACAAAGGCGAAATCACAACAAAAAAGAAAAGGAAATTCGCAATCACATATCAGTAGAATTGATCCTTTTCTCCATGCAGTGTGTCTCATATGTTGGGTAAAACTTGAAACAAAAACTTGGTTCCTTATACATTGTTCATAATTCAATGAAATTTTGCATCTTGATGGAAGAAGCATGAAAGCTCATTGTATTTATTGTTCATTTGAGCAAGTTTCTCATTTGCAGGATGGAGTTGAAATGCTGCAAATTGATTTTATTTAATCTTATTCAATGCAAAGCAGCCAAGTTTCAATAACCCTTTCAAACATTTCACAATCAAGTTCTCTTTGCATTTTCTCTCTGATTCTAATGGCAAGGTTATATCAATTAAATAAAGAAAGCTGCGATTAATTTTTGTGAGTATTTACATTGTTGTCAGTTTTGTTTTGAAACTTTTGAATTTGTAGGCTCATTAAATGTACTTAAACGAGTAGTTTTTGAGTGAGTTTTTTTAAATGAATAAAATTTGTTCATGATTTATCATATTCATCTGTGATATGGTCATCCTTTATGCTGAGATTTAGAAAAATGTCAAGAGTACTTTCACCCTTCCACCCAAATGGCAAATTTAATTGATTTACTATGTATAAGGGACCAATAATTTTTTACTAGTGATATGGAACACCTTGTATAGGTAAAAAATTTATGAAAGGATGTGAGCCATGGCATGTGCACACACCTTAGTGGCTTCAATTTTTGTGTTGCTTTTGATTTGTAGTGCTGATTTCCCTTCTGTCTTATTCCTAAAAAAAAATAAGCCTGTCTGTGACTTTACACATAAGGTGTGAACAACAATGGAATTTATAGTATGTTACCTTATACCATGCTGATGATAACCAAAAAAATGTTTTCTCTATTTTATATACAAAGGTTTTTATAAAATGAGGAACTATGAGGAACTTTTTTTTATGGTCTGGCTGACAAATCTATGGAGCATTGAGTCATTATTCTCCCTCCAGAGAGTCCCAGCTGGTTCAATCAGTTGCTTTTGCTTTACAGGAAAAGTTTTTAAACTTCCCACCTGGATTGCCAACTAGAGGTAAACCATACCTTCCTGAAATGAAGTCTGTGACAACCTCCTGTAAAAGTTATTATAGCCATGATATTTTGCTGGTAGCCCAAAAGGAATTTTTTACTGAATGTTTTTAGATTCTTTTTGCCTATGTTTTCTGTAATAATCACTGTGTTCTCTTCGATTTCAATAGTGTCTTGCAATACCCAGCACCTCCCATATAAATGTACCATTTGGAAGTTGACTGAATGATTTTCAAATATTTTGTAATTATGGATAAATGACTGATGAAATCAAGTTGAACATCATTCTGGGGTGTAAAAATGATGACTTACTATCAAATTAAAAAATTGCAAGAAGATGTAATAAGGGAAAAAGTTGCATATAGATTGCTACTTAATGGACACTCTGGCAATGGCTACAATCATAAAGTGTTTTCCCTCTCCTTTCCAGGGTTCCAGAGGAGAGGACCCCTTGCGCAAGAAGTCACGGGGATTAGGTGGTGGTTTCAAGTCAATGGATAACTACACTTATGTGAGAGGCAGGGGAAGAGGCAACTACATTTGTGAAGAGTGTGGCATAAGATGCAAGAAACCATCAATGCTGAAGAAACATATTCGCACTCACACAGATCTTAGGCCTTTTGTGTGCCCTCATTGCAATTTCAGGTGGCTCCCCCATCCTTACCAAATTTTTCCTGCATTTTATAGATCTTTTATTTTATTTATTGATTTTTATTTCATTTTATTTTATTTTATAGATAGCAGTTATGTGCTCATATTTTTATATTCACTCCTCTCCTTTCTGGTCTCCATAGCTTCAAGACAAAAGGGAACTTGACCAAACACATGAAGTCAAAAGCTCATCATAAGAAGTGCCTGGAGCTTGGGATTTCACCAGTGCCAACAACCATTGAGGACAGTCAGATAGATATCAGTGCACTTGCAACTCAGGTATGTCAGAGTTCAGTTGGTGAAGTATTTGGAGGACCATGATGAATAATTGAGTGCAATTATATGAGACAATGTTCAAGAGTCAGGATACCATCATATTGTCATGATAGTGTTGCGTTTTTCTCCATCTTGCTTTTTCAGCAATTTTTCAATATTGACATACCTGCATTTAATTAGATGTGGATTTTTAAGCAAGGGTTGGGAGCTGCCTGATAATTAACAACAATCCTTCTTAGGAACGACTGAGCAAGCTGGAATTGGGCTTGGAAGATTGTGATGAGAGTGACATAGATGATGAAGAAGATGATGATGAAGAAATGGAGGAAGAAGAAGAGGAGGAGGAGGAGGATGAAGAGGATGAAGAGGAAGAACTTGAAGAGGAGGAGGAAGAAGAATTCCAAGGAAGACCAGAACAATTTGAAGATGCTATAGAACAGTATTCAATAAGAATGAAGCATGAACCAGGTATGTAAACATTCTGCTGTTCCTGTGCAACAGAAAGGTTTTTACCTCAGTCAAGCAGTTGTTTCAAGGCCTTCCTTGCAACTATAGAGGCAATGTAGCATATTGGGTTACATTTTTATACCTGTTTGTCCCAGGTTTTTCCCATGTTATTAGGAGTTAATGGCTGATTTTGGCATGGGAATTAATCTCCACATGAGGATCTGAATCTACCCATTTGAGATAGATTTGAAATTACCTCGAGTGAAAATGATGAAGTTTCCTAAGTTGATCCTTGTAGAGTGCTCATTGGAAAAATGGACAAATGGAGCCAAAGGCACCATGGTCATTTCTGTAAATCACCACATTACTGTTATTCCCTGCCTGTAGAACTTGTTTAAAACCTCTTTCTCATAGTGGGGTTATATGAACTTCAACATTTTCTCAGTGGAAGAAGTAGCTTGTGTGCGAGTCAGTTGTAGGACATAAGGCATCTAACTTCTCTAGTTTCGCATTGCTTTCCCATTTCATTTATCAGTATTTCCTTGAAGTAGATTTTTCCCCTGTAGACTTCCATTCATAAATGTACTTTTAATAGTATGCCGAGCATACTGCCAATGAGCTCTAAACACCTGATTCAGTAGAAATGATGATATACATCCTACTGCAGTCTTGCATCTCTTTTACTACTGATGGGCTAGTTGGTGACTGTATTTGTGCATCATGTTTTATAGGAGAGGATTTGGCTTCTGGAACAGCCACAACATCACAGGAGCATGAAGCAGCTGAAAGCCTGCTGTCCTTGTGCAATGCACCTTCAAGCATCCGGACATACATAGCAACATTGAGTGCACAAAATGAAAGAGAAAAACTGTCTCAGAATGCTGCTGCTGCACATTTACCCAGTTCAAAAAGCAAGTATGTGCACTTATCCGGTGGGCCACAGACTGGAGCCACACGATATTATTTCCCATCTTCAAAGGAAGGAGAAGAGCTACCTGCAGCATCCTCCTCATCCTCTTCCCCACCTGTCTCAAAGCCAGATTCATGTGGAAGCCAGAAGGTCCTCCGCCCAACAACTCTGAATCTTAGTTCAGATGTGCCACTGAGGCAGCCAGTGAATATCCTCCAGTCACCATGTACTCCCATCAAGGGGCTTGACTTGTTGACTTCTGCTGTCTCTGATGCTCCCACTATGCTCTCTTCCATTTATAATACAGGTAAGGCCCCATCACCCCTTAAATCTTTTGTTTTAATATACCTATGTACAGTTTCTGCCCCTCAACCTCATGTTTCAAGTAACAGCAGAAGTTATTGTAATGAAGTAGATTTGCTTGTGCCTGTTCTAGGGTTTTCTTTTTTCCATGCTATTAGGAGTTGATCAGTGATTTTAGGCTAAGGGGTATTAGTTTCAAGGGTTGGAACAAAGCTAGATCTGCTGTCATCCCAAATGGAAAATGATGTTATGTACTGTAAATGCTGAGGGTCATATGCACAACCCTAATTTTAGTTGAGCTTGACCCAGTGTTTGGGCGGACCAACTCAGGCGGGCAAGTCATTCATAGGTGAAGATGAGGCAACAGCTGCTTGCATGTTGTAACATCCATAGGCAAAAGCAGAAGTTAGCAAATAATATTTTGTTTGTTTGGTCAGTGACTCTGGTTTGTATTGCATTGGTGCTCATTTTCAGTTCATGATGGAAAGCAGACAGGGCGAGTGTCACCTGACCCAATGGAAATATCAGTTTCAGGCGACATGCTCAACCAGTACCTGAAAGAGAAGGCTCAACAGGAAAATGCTCGAAAAAGGGCTCACCAGACTCAAGACACAAATGCTCCAACAACACTGAACCTCGTCTCTCCTCTTGCTCCACCAACCTGCTCATCTGTCACAGTGATGACTCCTCACTCCCCTCAGACATTAGAGATGGATGATTCATCCTCTGCTGAGCCTCTCAAACTCCCTCTGAAAGAAGAGGCTGTGACTCCAAGTGAAGCATCCACATCTGATGATTCTGCTTGTCTTCCAATTGCTGTTCGGGATGATATCATCAAACCCTCGGGCAGTGGCAACAAGGGACCAACCTATGGAAGGTATAATCAATAATGTATTATGTCTCTAGTTATTTTGCTCACTTAATGCAAAATTTTGACTGAGATGCTCTGCTTTAGAATCTCACGGGATGAAGACCGCTGTGTATGCAGTGTATGCAGCAAAGTGTTTTCCAAGCCCAGTCAGCTTCGCATCCATGTCAACATCCACTATTTTGAACGACCTTTCCGTTGTGATGCCTGCTCAATTTCCTTCCGCACAAAAGGCCACTTGCAGAAACACAAACGAAGTGTCTCTCACTTCAATAAAGTGAGATGGGGGTCATCATTTTGTCTCAGAATCCTACAACACTCCAGCACCCTAGCACAAGAGTTGCATATTTTCTTTCTCTTTTCAGGTTAACATGAATATGGCTTTTGGAACACCAACCACTGACAATCCTCGTCCATTCAAGTGCATAGACTGCAAAGTGGCATTCCGCATTCATGGCCATTTGGCAAAGCACCTCAGATCCAAGATGCACATTATGAAGCTTGAGTGCCTGGGAAAGCTCCCATTTGGCACATATGCTGAAATGGAGCGATCAGGCTTCAACCTGAATGAAATTGACACCACTGATTGTGAGAACTCTCTTGAGAGTCTTCAGGTGAGGAAGTTGTCACCTTTTTGCATGATTATTCCTTTGTAAAGCATTTGGAGACATCAGCATTCACCTGAGTCAATATCTTTTCAGAGCCTGGCCCAGCGGTTACACGGGAAGGATGTGGAAGTGATGAAGCGTCAAAGAAGTATCAGTGAGGGAGCTGTGGACCCAAAAGTGGAGCCTCTCAATGGAGATGTGGTTCTGCCCAAGTATGAAGACATCTCTGACCCAGAGGAAGACAAGCATTCCTCCTCCAAGGGGTGATTCCTTTGGAGTCATCACTGTCAAGGCCATTTAGGCATGCAAGAATCAGTCACCACATGCAGTATGAATCTCCAGACTAGAACATGCCCCTGGGCAGTGAATGTTGGAGAGTCTAACACTGGATGCACATTCTTGGAAGGAATATTGAACTCAGGAGTGTCCTCCTACAGTCTGCAGTGTCTCCAGATGAGGCTGAACATTGTCATTGCTCCTCTGTCAGGCTTCCCCTTAGAATGTGGGGATAATTCTTTGTTTGCCTGTGATATTGCCCCCACCACTGAGTTTTTACCTGTTACTCTTTTGCCTGTTGAGGTCTGGAGCATCTTCTGGAAGTTCAAGCAATTATGTTTATTTCCCCCACCCTCTCTTTTTTAAGGATCACTGGATGGTACACCAAGAAACAATAAATATGCATTGTCAGGGTTGTAAGTCTCAAACCACTCAAGCAGAAATGGTTTCATAATTATGTCCAGGAATCTAGCCAAAAAGAAATTCAAAATCATTTGCACATTGGCTGTACTTTCCCTAGTAATGTAGAAATATGAAAAATCTTAAGTTCTGGTCTTGAGTCTTATATTGGGGGTTATGAGATCAGCAAGATCAGCAAAGATCAGCTTGGCAACGTGTGTGAAAGAATATCTCTAACAGTCGACACTGGGAAGGAGGTTGAAGTCACATGTTCTGAGCTTGTGTCTGTCTGAATCCTGATTTGGAAGCAGACAGGCATGGCTTCATTTTTCTGAAGTTTGTTTTAAAATCATTTTTCCCAAAAGGCTTGGGCTAATAATTTACTGAAAGTTACTGTCCCAGGTTTTTTTTTTTAAAGCATGGCTTAAATGTCTTTTTTTTTATGGGGTTCTTTCCACACAAGAATTTTTCATTTTTTTCAGGAGACATTTTAGGTTAGGTTGGAATAAATGTGTCCTTTTTTTGGTTGCCTGAAGAGGAGATAACTGTTCTGCTGTAGGCCGAGCTGCACAGGAAATCCTGGTATCTTGGTTCCAGTGTGGCATCATTACGCTTGCTGAGGCTATGATGATATTCTCTTTTTGTGTCGATTGCTCAAAGGGAAGAACTTTGAACTTGTCTTTTGTTATTTCGTAAGCAGCTTTGACAACAGATTTCTAAAGGAGAAATCTTTCTGGACTGTGATTTCAATCCATGTGTTTTTTTTTTCTCCCCCCTCATCATCTGCCAAGTGAAATAAAGCGCCTCTGTGGGCATGTGCCATTGCTACTCGCATTTCTGTCATTTCTGATAGTTGAACTGCGACATGAAAAACGGATGAGAGGTAAAAATGCTAACTACAAGTAATTAATCAGAACAACTTGCCCGCGGAGTGCTGAGTATTGCTTGATAAAAAAATTTTGTGTCATCCAACTTGATCGTGGTGAAAACACTTGGAGAAAAGAGCCTCTGCTTGAGTTTGAAGTGGCACTAGGACAATGCCTCAAGTGTTTATGCTCCCCCAGTGTAGCATATCCCGGTAAGAGTGAAGTGGGATATCGGTGTGGCTCGTGCCCTTCCACTTCATCTGTCTGCGCCTATCGTCGACAACTTGACCATCGACAAGATGTGCAGCCGCTATCTCAATTGCACGGTGGAAGCCTGTCGTAATCTCTCCAAATCGGATCGGGATACGGAGTAGGGGATTACGGTGTATAACATAATATGATGGACTATAACCGAGCACATTTTGCCGTTCTTTTTCGCACCTATTCTCGGACGTTGAGCAACGCCAATGCAATGAGAGGAATGGCGTCTCTTCCTCTGGACCCAAACTGCTCATCATGTGAGGTAAATCCTCAACGCCTCGTTCATGGCTTGGGAGTCCTACCAGATCTAGATCGTCGGATCCGTATCGGAGGGAGCATTTGACATCCATCCCCCTGATGGAGCCTTTCTTGGAACTCATATCGATGCTTCGGATACATAATGATGTTCGAATTGTACGGTTCTCTCTCGTCTCCTCTATCTCCTCCTCTATCTATCTCGTCTCTCTCTCTGCATGATCCCATTTATGGTAGAGTTGGCTTTTGCTTCCCATCCGTCCAATGGGCTCTCGGTCTGACGTTCCCCGTGTGACCGTGTATCTTCTGGTGAGGAAGCGCTTCGGTTGGAACGAGGCGAGCTATACCTTACTTTTTTTTTTTTTACGAGCTTTACGGCATTACCTTACTCCACTTCACACTCCGTCCTCACGTCCAGGGTTTCCTTAGCTTCTCTCGGTGGTCGTTCCGGGCGGTATTTTCGCCCTCCAAAGCACGTTCTTGCCAGTCCCTATTCTCGGATACTCGTTACAGGCCCCAAACTTCAAATCGGGCATGACCTTCGACGGGTTCTGTCGTCTCTGGCACGCTTCCACCCTTCGACGCTGGCGGTTCATGACGGTCCCGGCCACTTCTATCTGCTTTTGCGGCTCCGTGATTCAGCGATAAGAAAATGCGGTGGGCTTTTAAGAGACTGTAGCCGATGCCAGTTGATGCCAAAGCTTCCATATACAGGTATTTACTTCTTACGTAGGAGTTGCCTCAATTTTGGCCTCACAGCCGAATTTGATTTTTTTTTAAAGTATAATTCGAGTATCTCATGATGAACTCAAAGTTGAAAATATTTATATATGGAGTTTTGAAAAAGCTAGGTTAGTTGCTCAAATCTAAATGTTTTTGCGAGTCACTTCCATGATAATTTAATGCTGCACCAAGAAAGAACAACATGAGGTTAAGTCGTCATCAAGACAATTACCAGAGAAAGAACATGTGAAAGACATGGTGCCAAAATTGAATTTGACATAACTTTTGGCTTTTGTTTTTAGAGGGTTATCAAATTAGTCACTCGACTCATTTTCAGATTTATCCAGATAAACTAGCTTGACCTAATCTAACCTAACTTGTTTTAACTGATCGTATTTTAATAAAATATATTTGCATTTTTTAGTTCAACAAAGGAAACACTTTATTTTGTCACATATTTCATAGCATTCGGTTTCGGATACAAAATCCCTGGTTTTGGACGATCTCCCCCCCCCCCCCTTCTTTCCAAGTCATTGCCACGTCGTGGAATCAACGAGGAAGGGGGTCTTCTCCCAAAAGGAGTGTGGGACTGCAGTGGACCTCTTTTCCTGGAATCCATTTACCTTTCTTTAGCTGACTTGCTCCTAATCACTGCATTCCATATGTACGCCACTAGTACTCTATTCGACCTTCGATTCTCAGATTCTGCCGAAAGATTTCTCTCTCTCTCTCTCTCTCTCTCTCTATCCCGTTGGTACCTGCTTTATCTATCCGAGAAACGCAGCCTCTCAGAAGTTCCGACGAGAGGAAATCCGGATCTGTGACAAACGATCTGTTAGCCACATGATTCCCAGAAGGTAAAGGTCGGACCATCTGACGAAAATTTACATTCTGAATCGATGATGGATTCACGATTCGCGATTCCTTGCCAGTTCGAAATAAGGAGCGCATGAGAAAAAGTGAAACGTGTTTCCCTCTTCAAAAATGCATATCAATCACGACTTTTAAACCGAAGATCTCACTCAGCAGCTCTCATTTCCTTAAACTTGCTGTTTTGCTCGCATTTCCCATTTGTCTGCTCCTCCATGGCAATGCGGGCCGAAACGAAAACTTTTTGGGAAAGTTTCTATTCCATTCGCCCAGGTACACCAGGATATAGTTTTGTACTGTTGCAGTAGAACTCCAAGTGCCATACGACCAGTAGAAGTAAAGGCCTATCGAAATTGTGTGAAATATGTTCCTTTGACATATTCTTTGAATTTGCACCAATTCGTTGAAAATTTTTTTATATTTTGGTCGCATGGTAAGTATCTCGCAATTCTCATTCCCTTCTATCAATATCGGTGTTTCGGGACCTAAAACCTTTCTTCAACCCTTTCTAGACCGAAAATTCAAGCTGTTCCTACTCCCCTCTGGATGCGCCTGGAGGAGTGAAATCAGACACTCCTCATCCTTTAGCCACAAGGAATCAGTCCTGAGAAATTGAAATCTCTGCTCCCCTTGGTTGCAAAGAAGTGTGGATCTCATTTCAAGCCTTACTTTTGTATCTGTCTTTTATTTTCAAGTAATCAATCGCCTGAACTAAAGGGCCTCAAGAAACGCCAATATACCATCAGCGCGATACTTAAAAGAGATACGGTTATGATTCTGCTTGGGTGGTATCTGCCGTCGAAAATCTCAAGCTCTACTTCTCAGTCGCATGAAAAAGCAGCAGGGGAGCGCCTGACTCCATGTCCATGTCGTATAGGGTGTTCCAGAAGTCCTGTTACCCTTTCCCCTGATGTTTCCATCTAATAGTTCTTTTTTATGTTCCAGAACAGGCGGCCATACAACGTTATCGCACAATCGAAGAGCTGAAACAGGCTGTCACAAATCATTTCGCCCTGTTACTCAAGCAATGTTCTCACAGAACTTAGCCTTGCATAATTCTCTGCTATGAAAACTATATTGCACATACTAATCCTATTGATTGTTAAATGGAAACTGATGAATACGTTCGGCTGTATCACATGAGAAGCAGTAAATATACCGTAAGAAACACATAGGGTTAACAGGACTTCTGGAACACTCTTTACAGTGGAGACCCGAAGGACGAGCGCATCTCCTCTCCCTCTCCGCTCCCTTCCGGCCTACGAGTGAGATGTCGTCTGCTTCTGCTCTGCTGGACTCACCATTCTCGTCCGCAGGGACTGGCGACATCCAAGTCAACAGGCATTAATTCGTCAGACGTGATAGTACAGTGGGTCCGAGGTGATGCCTCGGAAGCCAGTCGGACCGAAGGCCGAGGCCTAGTCACGTAGCGGAGATAACAAAAAAAAACCTCGCCTCGTTCCCCGTGTTTGACGTGTCACATTGCCACGACATTAATACTGTAGCTGTCTCGGTCAGAGTCTGATTAATGTTCTTCGGGGCCCTGGACAACGCATGTGCTGGGTTCATTGTGCCGCTTTTCCCCCTCTCCAACTTTTCTAGGTCATACAGCTCGTGTCCCAGTTTAAAAGTGGAGAGCTGCTTTCATGCATGGAAACATCCAATAATATGTCTAAAAACATGCCAGAGAAAATGAAAAAGTGGCCATGATATCTATACGTAAAACTAAAGATGGATAAAGTAAATACGTTTCGATTGATCGTTATTTTTTTCAATGAATGCCCAGTATAGTGATGTAGCTTTGCTCTACCTTTATATTAAATATAATCAACAATCAATATTAACATTAATTAACATTAGTTTAAATTTGAATGATGCTGATTTGAACCAACGTACGTACTGACATTTTGGCATTTTTGGACGGAAATATAAATGTATCGTTCCTGCACGAATGTTTTTGAACCCAATTCTCAGCTTGGAAGAGATGAAGACCAGAAGAAAGCCATTCGTTGGCTCTGAACAACAGACTCTTGAATATTTCTAGAGGTTACCCCTACCAGTAATTAGTTAGAGAGAAATCATTCAATTAATAATTACCAAAAGTATCATGATTTATCATCGCTTGACATTATATTTATTATTATTGTTTCAACCTCATTGCCATCGCCAGTGATTAATTCTCAAAACATTTAATCATTCAACTGCACAGATTCGATTGGTCCCAAGCTCCGAGAAAAAGGAATACCACGAAAAACGCATTTTTAGGAGTCGATATGAGGAGCTGCCATGCTGCAACCGACCAGTTACTTTACCAGTTACCAGTTAATCTCTGAGGAGTTACCGTGTGCGTAACCTCCTACAGAAGGGATTTTCTAGCCAGAATCTCAGAATCTGTTACAATACGGGAAATAATCGTTTGGTGTCAACAGAAGCGATTGCAGCCTGCTCGTTTTCAGGGCGGCAACCTCCGAAAACGGATGAAACATGCAAGAATGTGCAAAATCGCATGAAGATCAATATTTGCAACTTCATTATTTCTCAATAGGGCTTCTGTCTCTTCCTCTTCGAGTAATATTTGCTACTATTTGGGTCACAAGCCCATGCGCAGTTATAGGAAAAACATTGTCAGAAATCCTCCCCCTAACTGAGAGTTTTCCCCCGACAGGACAACTATAACAACGCGTTCGAAACACGTCAGTAGCTGAAAGCTGTTAATGTTTAAAAACTGGAGGACTCTTACGTGTAATCGACTGTAATCCACTCCTCGCGCAATTTTTAAGTAACTGCGTATTTTTTCTTCTAGACTCGGGGCCTCTGTCATCGGTCCAACGAATGGCGTTGCGCGAAACACGG